GAACAGACTAAATTTAAGGGTATAGTTAAGAGATCAAAATTGATATTTGCCTAAAATTGAGAAATGAACTTACCTATAATTCTATAGGTGTAGTTTTTACTATTTTTCAATAAAAATATGGCAAGTGTGTTTAAATATCTCTTAAAGAATTAAAATATAAAAAAATTACATAAAAAATTATATATTTATTATATTTTTATTAAAAAATAATAAACATCTGCACATATAAAATTGTATCTAACTTTTCTCCAAAATTTTAATTATATCTTATCTTATCGATCAAAAAGTTATAAATTTAAATTCAAGCAAATGAAACATCTAATCATCTGTGTCTTCCAATTTATATAAACTTAATTTATTGTAGAAAATCACGGACAATAAAGAAATGTTTCTAAATACGAGTGCTTGAAAATGTTTCTAAATATTATGAGGATGAATAGTGGTGACAGCTTTCAGAGCATAACCTAGAAAATATAAACATAGATGCAAAGAAAAACTAAAATATTGTTAAAATACGTTATAATTTTTTTTTTGGATGAATATTAAACATAAAATAAGACGTTAGTTTAATATGATATACCTGTGTGTATATAAATATGTTGCTATTATTATTTAATTTATTTTAAATTATTCAAGTATATTTGTCATTCTTTTTTTATGTATATGAAATTACGATAATGTCCAAGTGATAATAGACTAAAAATAAACGGCCTATACCAAGAGGTTGAGTCTAGAATAAGAATTTAGACTCACAAAACATGAAAAATCAATATTTAAATACTGATTAAAGATAAATTTATATTTAATGTGTGACATGCTTCAAATATAAATTATTTATGGTGATGAAAACCTATGAAAAGTATAAATAAATAAATAAAAATTATCTAAGTTATAGAAGTAAATATAAATAAGATAATATAACCTAAATCAAAATAATATATCACATATATATTTGGTTTATATATTTTTTTAAACTGGATAGAGTTGTTTGGCTACATCAATTCACTGTTAGATGTTCAAAGACATCATTCTCTAAAGTCATGTTTAAGGTCATGTTTAGATATTATGAAACGAGAAAACGAGGAAAACGGTGGAACAAAAATTTTATTTCATGGTTGATAGTATTTTATATCAGAGCAAGACAATTTCGTCCATATCTGAGGAGAAAAATTATGATGATGCAAATAAAAGAATGAAATGAAATTCATATTACTATAGTACTTTATTATGCTCAATTCAATTTTAATTATCCAAAAAATAGGATTTCATTTCATTCTGCTCCATTTTATCTTGGTCATCAATCCCAAAAAGATACATCGAAAATCTCCACCCTTAAAACTCCTACCCCAAAATCTTATCACTAGCAAACACTTCTTTAACAGAGAATATGGCGACAATTCTTTAAGAATAATTTAATATCATTAATTTCGTACAGTGAAAATTTATGATGTTTCATTGCATTGTCAATGTACCTTTAAAACCTAAACATATGGGTAGTTTTCGTACAGTGAAAATTTATGATGTTTCATTGCATTGTCAATGTACCTTTAAAACCTAAGTTTCGTCTGCACCTCTAACCTTAAATAGTAATAGAAGCATCCATACCTCATAATGACACTAAATTGTCCTCAACTACCACATAACCACAAGCACGTGGCTAGCCACGCCTCTTTTTGCATGCAACCCATACACAACCAACCCCCATACCCTTTTTTCCCCTATATATACCTAAATCCACACCATCTCATAAACCACAAAACCTTCAATCTCTTGATATATCATTGCAACATTTGTGTCTCATCATGGGTTACTCAACTGTGGTAACTAAGGTTGTTTGTTTGGCAATTGTGTGCCTTGTGAGTTTTGGTCCTAAGACTGGAGAAGCTGTGACATGTGGTCAAGTTGTGAACGGCTTAATGCCTTGTGTTTCTTACATTATGAATGGTGGGAACGTGCCTGTGCGGTGTTGTAATGGAATTAGGGGTCTTAATACCATGGCTCAAACCCCTACTGATCGTAGAGCTGTTTGTAGCTGCATTAAGAATGCTGTTACCTCAAGTGGTTTCAGTTACTCCAACACCAATCTTAACAATGCTGCTGGCCTTCCAACCAAATGTGGGGTTAACATCCCTTACCGTATCAGCCCCAATACCGACTGTAAAAGGTACTACTATCAATATTTACATAAATATATTCACATAACATAAAGGTAATCGTTGGTACATATGTATTTTCTCACAAAAATGTCAATCAAACTGTTTGTAGTTCTGCAGGACCAACTCAACCTTAACCGTTACAATGAACGAAATTGGGCTAGATCGAGATGTAGAGCTGCATACAACCCATTTAACTATAATATTGTCTCATGATATAGCATACTAACTATTAGAACAACATCTGATATAAAAGATTAAAGAAAAACAAATGTAAAAGACAATGAACACAATTGATCTTTGTTAACACATGTCGACCAATGGTGCTTACTTATGTGGCAATAGAGCAGCTATAATTTTCTTTATTTAGGTCTAATACTTTGTGATAATTAGGGTTACAAACTTACAATGTTACAAGCAGTATATATAATACTAGGACTCAGTTTATAATAATATCTCTGAAGCCCCAATACTCCCAATTACCTACCACATCAAATAGTTGGGCCTAAGAACCGTTTAGAGTTTCCACATAATGAGTCATATTCAACATATACTATACTATATGTGGCAAGATTAAAGTTGCTGATTTAGTTTCATGTAACATTAACTTTAGTTCTATAGTATGGATAGAACATTAAGGAAAAAGTTGATTCATTAGTCAACTCTATTTAATGGGATAAGGTTTGGTTGTTGTTGTATATATATCTAATGAAATTTTTTTTTGTATTGATGCAGTGTGAACTGAGGTTGAAACATGATGTGTGGAGCAGTAGATCAAGAAGAATGTTATGCTACTCTATAGTGTGAGAATAAGAGGCCACTCTCATGAGTGACGTGAGAAAGATCAACTGAAGTTTCTTCTTTCTGGCTTTATGTTATTGTATCTGTGCTTGTGTTTGTGTGTGGTTGTGCTGTTTGTGGACACTAGCAGAAATAGGGGGTTAAGTATTAGAATAAGTTGATGGATATTGTAAGATGTTGTTTCTTAACTAATGAATATGATGTTATTAAATAAACTCAAATCAGTTTCAAACAAATTCTTCTAAATGTCCCAATTAGTCATGCAAATGCAACTTGCTGAAAAAGCTATGGCACACTAAAGGTCCGGTTAATCAATTACGGAGATATGCTAGGTGCATATACACCCAACAACTACACGATTCAGTAAAAAGAAATTTTAACAGGAAAAAATGTTCAACAAAACTCTCAAGTTTTGAAAAAACAAACAGAATTTTAAACCATAAACCTAAGTTATTATTTTACTCAAGCAAGTATATTAGAACTCCTAAACAAAACAAAAACTATTACAACAACACTGTTATAGATTGAATACTCCAAACAAAGTATAGCTACTCTTTTAATATTAATTTTCTGAATTCGGCCAATTCGCGGAAAAAGTATCTTCTGTACTTGAATGATTCTTGAATTATAATTTGGTATAAATTTCTTTCCTAAAGCGACATAATTAAAAGAAAATGGGAAGAATACATGAATTATAATCATAATATGTGCATATAGGCACAATACAAGAATTCTACATGAACATGGGAAGAAAATGAAATAGAAATTGGGGTAGATTCATATACACATGGGTGATAGCAGGAATGAACTAAGAACTTGAAGCGGTGTTTGCCTCAAGGATAATTACTAAAAGTTGTGGAAGATATGACATGGGAGCCAAAACATAATTAAAAAAGTTGTGGAAGATGTGACATGGGAGGCAAAACATAATTACTACCTCTGCCCCTAAATATATGACTTCTTTAAGTAAATCACAAGAATTAAGAAAGTTGATTTGGAGTATTAAATTTGTTGACTATTTGTATAATTTTACGAGTTTATCCTTTGGAGAGAGAATTATTTAATGACTAACTGCAGAAAGTGCATACTGTATATGCTATCAGTATAGATAAGTGACATTGAATGACTAGTTAGAGCATCAATAAATGAGAATGAGAGATTTACGAAGTTAAAATGCATTAAACTTTAATTATATTCAAATCATGCAAATGAAAAAGACCATAAACCTGTTTGTTTTTGTGTTGTGCACAAGATGAACGCGGAGCAGCAGTGTCAAAGCTACCACATGAAGCTTCTACTTGAACACACCTGATGGACACCTTTCACAATCCAAACAAAACAACGATGCTGCATTGTTTCAAATTCTGATAGTCATAGATTCAAATTTAATCATGCAATAAGTAAAGATACTTGTTTATGATAAATTTACTGTCTTTGCCCAACAACATCAACAGCCAAACCGTATCCCACTATTCTATCGGAGACCATATTTTTATCCAATTTGTTAATCCCGGTATCTTTCTTAATAGTTTTTCTTATGGTTTTTCTAGATCTCCTTACCTCTAATTATTTGACTCTTCTCCATCTGATCTACTCTCCTTACAACATAAATTACTATCTGCCCATTTCACAAAAAATTAAGCAGAGTGGCTTTAAGCTAAAAGGGAAAAACATAACAATAAGATACGAAAAAAGTAATTATAATATATAATCCAACAAACAACTCAAGGATAAATTAATAAATTTCATTAGAAGAAAAAAGGACCAATAGTCGCGCCTATTCCTTGTGATAAGAAGTAGGTAACTATATATAATCTGAACTCCAACGCCTTACATTTGAACATTGGAGTACATGACCTATCTGCTACATAATGTACAACAAGATAAAAATAAATAGGTATGATTACCTGGAAAGAATTTCATGGTTTCACTTAAAAAGAAACCTGCTCGAAGAAACCTGAAAAGAACCTCCTAGTCCTAACACACAACCCCTTACAAACATATGATATTATATACAGTAACCTGCTCAAATTCAAAGATAGCATTTTATTCAATTGCATCAGTTTGGTATTCCTTAATATGTCTCTCTATTTGGTTTGCAAAGCCATTTAAATTGTTTTTCAAGATGTCTAACTCTTGTTTCAACTCGTCGTTCTCCTTTTTTAATTGTGTATTTGATAAATTCTCTCTACGGAGAACTCCAATTTCTTCCATTTGTTGGCTTATTTTCAGCTTCAATTCGGCATTTTCCTCTTCCAACATGATATTTTTCTTCCTTAAATCAACCTGTCAATCAAATAAGTTACTTTTATATATGACGATCCATTGTGTGCACGTATTATGTGTGTGATGTGTGTGACAACTTGACAAAACTAAAGGATATAAGACAGAATAAAATCTCACATCATCAGAGCTGCACTTAGGGGGGGTGTCGTCCACTATGAGAGTTTTAGCAATCAACTCATGATCTTTTCCTACTTCGTCGTCCCCAATGCTCAAATTTGCAGTTGTGTCCTCAATTATGTGATTCTCAACATTCAACCCATCTTCTCTACTTCCTTCCTCAGAATCAGATATGCTCAAATTTGTAAAAGAGTCCTCCATCATTAGTTTTTGAAATTGGAACGCATCCTCTCTGTTTAATCCAACAGGAGTGCTCGAATTGGACGGGGTCTCCTCGACTATCAGATTTTCCATATTGATATTCTGTTCTCTATACTCTTCGTCATAAGTGTCCAACCTTGTGGGAGTGTCCGCTACTACCTGATTCTCGAAATTAATCATGTCTTCTGTATATATTTTACTAGAGCTACTAAGCTGTATCTCTTCATCTTCATCTGAAACCTGCCCATGTCAACCTCTCAATTAAAGGTGAAACTGAAATGGGAACGAACCACCACATTCATAAAAAGCAATAAATTGTAACTCACATTACTTGATGTGCTTGCTGAATAATTTCCATCCCTTTTAACCTTGCTGTCACCTAGTAACTCCATTGTTTCTTTTATTATGTCTATTCGTAACTCTTGAGACGTAGGTTGAAGTTTCCAAATTATCTGCAAATATATATAGACAAGACATCATAAAAATACAAAAGAATTGCAATAAACTTTTCTATCCTCTTACTTTTATGGCGTGGAGCCTTTAGTAAAACATACATAATAATAACAATGCAAGTTATGAAACCGTTATTTCAAGACCAGATATAGTAGTTTCAGGTTCAGACTAAATCCGAAACGACTTGAAAATGAACAGTGAAAGCATTTTGCTACTTTAAATCATTAAAATGGTAACCGAACAGGACAAGAGATATCTTCACACCAATGAACCTTTAAACTGATAACTCAACAGATGTATAAACAAGTTTCCAAAGTACCTGATCATCATGTAGATCCTTAAACCTTGAAGTACCCCGCTGTCTAGGGTGAGTTTTACTGTGATCCCATCGACACACACGAGGAAAAGTCATATCTTCATCGAGCAAATTTGGCCGTGCTATATCAAAGTGCTCGTAGGACCATGTCTGTTCCCAATAGTGTGGATAAAAAAACATTAGTTGTTGAGAACTTATTTCCATCAATTGATAAGAATGATATCTTCAACTTTAATCCAGAAATTTTCTGAACTAAATTGATACGAAATCAACAACTGGAAAATTTTATTCCATCTTAGACAAGTAGAAAATAAGATTTGACTTCTCCGAAACAAAAAATTGACCGTATACGGGTTAAAATTTTAATTCTTGAATGGTTTCAATTTACAAGGACATACTGTACATAAAAGAATTGACCAATATTGATAAAAGATTTATCATTCTTGTACTATTAATAACTTCATACATTGTTCTATGAAGCACAGACACTTCTAGGAGTAAACGCGTGGCAGTGTCAGACACTCGTATAACAATCGTACGATGAGCCAGGAAAGCCACATAAGCGTCGGAAAAGTCAAACAAGTGTTCTCAAAAATGATTTTTTTTTCTTTGCTTCGACACTCTTTGAACTGGGTCTGAACCCGTTTCAAAGCTAAGATACAGATTTCAATTATAACATGAATGACTTAATAAACTTACTTGGAGAAATATGAGACAACCACCAACATATTGTACATTGTTGCCTTTCCTCTTATCAAGCCACTGACACAAATCTTCAATAACAGCAGCACCCCAAGCAAAACCAGAAACCCCATCTAAATTCCCAAGAAAAGACAAGTACCTTGAATCCACTTTCCCATCATTCGAAGAAAGAAAAGTCCCAATGGTGAAAAGCAAAAAACTCCTCACGAAATCATCACTCACAACTTCCCCAATAGAATCCAGCCTCGCTTCAAGACTAGCCATAGCCACCTTTCTCTTCGCACGTGAAGCCCCATATTCCTCCTCCAATTTAGAAAACAATTCATCATCACTCAGCTCCACACGATGCCCCACCACCGGAAGCCCCAAAATCAAAGCAACATCCAATAAACTAAACCCAATTTCTCCAGAACCCATTTCGAAAACTCGCAGCTCAGAATTCCAAGCCTCCATTACCTCTGTAAGGAAAACCCTGTTAAGTGAATGATTTGGAACCAATAGCAAACTACCGAACCCCGTTTGCGAGATCGCCAATCTTTGCTCATCAGTTAGACTTTGAACACGCTTTGCAAACGGCGTGAGAGAAAAACGAGTACTGAAATTCTTCACCACCTGAAAAATAAAAAATCAAAATTGAAAGTTTAACTCAACTCTCTTTTAAGTGTATTCAATTCCAACTTCCAAGCTACGAAGCAGGGACATCGGAAACACGACACCGACATTGACACCAGTAATAATTTGAAAAAATGAATAAATTAAACCTAATCACAAGTGTCGGTGTCGGTTTCAAAGAACTCCTTTTTACAAAGGTGTCAGTGCTACAGAGACTCTAAGGTTTTAAAAAAAGGTCAGCAGTCGCAAAAACAGTCGCGACAAAACAGTATCGGCAGCTATTCACAGTTTTTATGTTAAAGAACAAATTGAGTGGTTAATTCACATCGCAATGACCGCAGTATATCTGTACCGACCAAAATCGCAAAAATCTTTAGGCAACACAAAAGCGACAGTTATTTAAAACCTTCAATTCTAAATTACAGTCTACAATTGCTAAAGTCAAAATTTAAGCTTCAACAATTTAAAACAATTTTACTTTCACCGTGAAAAACACTAAATTACACTAAAATTGTAAGTTCTTAAACCAACTCTAATCCACCTCATGACGAACTCTACTAGCGGTTACATGCAGCCGGAAACTCCTCCTAGCTCCGTCAAATCCGCTTACTCCAGCTCAAACTTCAACCGTTCAACGTCAGCCGCAATTAGCGACCGCTGGGTCAATTAACCTAAGCACCTTAAAATAGCTCCACTACGGCGGCGGCGGCGGCGGAGTAGGCCGGGAAAACGTGAACCAGACCGGAAATGTGGAAATAAAGAAACTAATTGAGAGAGGAAGGAGAAGAAGAAAAGAGGCGTACCGGTTCTACAGCGGTTTCTGCGGCTTGACCGAGGCCGATGGAAGAAATTCGGATGGATTTTCTCATCGGGAATTAGGTTTTCCGGCGCCGGAGAAGAAGAAAATAAACTTTTGAAAGCAAAACAGAAACTGCGAGCTTAAACACTACACAGCTACACGAGTGACTGTTGTACTACTTTTTAATTTCAAAGCTTCTGGGATAAGTTTCAAAATGGATGATGAGGTGTGCATAATGTTAAAATAAAAAAAACCGCCAAAATAAGTTCTTTTTTTTTTTTAGAGAATTAGCCTTTTCTTGGGCTGCCTCTTATTATATTTATTCTACTTCGCCTATCTTTAATTCTCCATATTTAGTTAGTTTTCATAAATTGTTTTTTTTTTTGTAATGATGAGTTTTTTTTTATAATAATACACTATTAAATTTATAATTTAAAAATATAATTTTATTATTGCTATTTTATTATATTATTCATTATAGAGATAATTATATTTAAAAATGGGGTTAAAATGTTGTTTAGAGTAATATTTATTTATATTTATATATTAATGTAAAAAGTATTTTAATTTCTCAACGATCAATTTAACTAAATTAGTTTTTAATTTCTTATTTGTTTATCTGACAAATAAAATAAATTGTATAAAGACCAAGCGGATAAGAAAAAGGGAGTGGTTACAAGTGGGCCTTAGGTCTAGTGTTAGAGTACACAAAATTTGGATTATTGGCTTTACTCTCTAAGATTGTAACCCTAACTAATATATGAGTTTTCTTATTCTTTTCTCTTTTCTTATGTCTGAACGAAACATCTTCAAAGTGGTTCTCCAAAGCCTCCATCGCCTTTGCCATCACACCAGTTTTGCTTTGGTGTTGTGTATTCTTTGCATTCATCATTTTCGCAAGGGTTTCACTATCAGTCTCAAACTCTATGCGCTTGATGTTATGTTGGATTGCATTTTTCATCGCCATTTTTAACGTCATGGCTTCGGCAGCTAGTGGGTCTTCATTTCCGAGAATTCTAATGGAGCTTTTCATGATGGTTCTCCCTGCATGGCCACAAATTATGGCTCTGATACCCCCAATAGCCCGCCTCTTTAAGACATGCATCAGAGTTTCCTTTTAGCCAACCCTTTAGGGGAGGTACACATTTCTTGTTATGCTTTGATTCGTCTTCTGTATTTTGATTCTTAATTCTAATATTTTGTGTTATCATTTGCAGATTCGTTGTTCCTGCTATTGTTGTCTCTCGTTTTATGCAAGTTCTTCTTATTGTTACCTTCTTCGTCGATAATACTTTGTATTTTCTCCATAAGAATGTTCTGAGTGTTTGTGTTTTTCTGAGTTTTTCAGGTACTTTTATTTTGCTTTTGATGTTGCTCGTATTCTCCCTTTTCGTCATAGGGTTCTTCTTTTTTGAGGTTTGATTCCTCTTATTTTCACTAGCAAACTCACTTCTATAATTGTTAGTCTTTTCTTTTCTATGATGAGTTTAGTTATTTGTTGAGCAGGTTGTGTTATCCATCGGGGTTGTATTCTCCTCTGTGTCATTTTTAGGTATATTACTCTTTTGCTTTGCCTTTCGCTTTGTACTTCTTCTCTGCATCCATATTTTTGAGGATCTCTGAAATCTTTCTTCTTCTTTCAGATAAGTTATCGGTCATTTTGAGGAGATTATTTATTTTCTATATTGGGTTATCTTAGTTCATATTTGCAAGTTGTTTCTTCATAGAGAACTTTGTCGCATTGTTTTCTCTAGCATCAGGGTTTTGCATATTTGGAGTCTGGTTCTGCATCATGTCTTGCTTCTGATTGTGACTTTTCTTCAGATGAGTTTTGTTCCTGCTCTCATCGCTTTTTCCCCGTAATTGTCCTCCTTGATATTATTCCAGATATGATAATTATTGTTGGTGTTGTTATTTTCATATACCTTTTTTTTCCCTTTATCGCCTTTAGCTATTTTTTACATGATGTAGACAAGGCAATATAACTCATACTCGTGGGTACCCGCCCGAACCTGCCCCAATTTTGAAGGGGAAAACCCGCTTTGACTGGGTTTAAGTTTGGGTTTAGATTTTCCCCGATTTCAAGATATGGGGACGGGGCGGGTAATGGAGAGTGTAGTACGCACCCGAACCCATCCCCGAACCTCACCAATTCCTATTTCTTCAGTAGCTTCAAAATCTGCATTCAGTACTAGCAGGTATATTTTAAACCCACATCACAGTTGACTTTATTGGACAACTTTAGAGGCTTTAATGTGTGCTAGAAGGTAGTTATGGAGTACTCAAAATAGTGGTAAACTTTTATAATATTTTGTCAATTTTTACAGGTTAATTATAAAAACCAAAATACTGCCTTGTTATTAAATATGATGCGTACTGTTGTCATTGTCCAAAGGCCATAAAGCTTGCCTTTATAATTTACTTAACATTACATAGAAACTTTTTAATATTATAGGATATATATCTTTTCTATGGTTGTTATTATTATTATTATTATTATTATTATTATTATTATTATTATTATTATTATTATTATTATTATTATTATTATTATTATTATTATTCATGTATCAATACAATAGTAAAATAAATATAGGTTAATTATAAAAACCAGTATGTTAGGAGTATTTGTAAAATGATATATAATTTTGTATTTGTTAATTGATTATTATTTATATTGTATTGTGTTTCATATTTTTAGATGATATGAGTTCTAAGTTAAGCAATGACTACACTACTTTACTCAATGAAATAGAGTCCGATGAAGAAGGTAAAATTTTCCTTTGAGTAACTAAGTTTTGACTTGTATTCTTATTTATTGTTAATGTTTATATTTTAATTTGTATTTTTTTTATATATGTGAAATATTAACTAGTGGTATTATTTCCCTCTTTGAAGATGGAGAATAGCATTTAGTGAAAGAAAGAAGACAATATTGGTGTTGGCAATTTATCTATTTTTGTTAGCAATTTCCATTGACAATGATGTTCAATATTTTTAGTTTTTATATTTTGGATTATTTGGTTTGTTAATTTGAAATACTAATTGTATGGTTGATAAAATAATACTTTTGTTACTATTTTATTATTCGAAATATATGTTTAAAATTTTTTGAGATTGTATTTTATATTTGTAATATAAGTTAACACTATGCCAAACAAGCACATAGACATCGCTTTTTTTGGCAATAGACATCGCTTTAAAGCTGCCTAAACCAGCGCTGCTATAGGTAAAGGTAGCGCTTTAGATTAATGTAAAAGGGCTGATATATGTCCCCTTTAGGCAGCGCTTTTACTTTTAAAGCGATTTCTTATGCACCCCTTTAGCCACGCTTTCTCTTTTGAAGCATTTTCTATATGTACCCCTTTAGCAGCGCTTTCTCTATAGACAGCGCTTTGGGTTATGTTTTACGCATCTCTTTAGACAGCATTTTTCTTTAAAAGCGTTGTCTTTTCCCCACTTTAGGCAGCGCTTTCCCATTTTAGGCAGCGCTTTTCCCCACTTTAGGCAGCGCTTTTTCCCCACTTTAGACAGCACTTTCTCATTAAGCGTTGTCTAATGTTCACAAATTTTTTTTAAATATTAGACTTATTTTCACTTATAGAAAGCGCTGCCTAATATCTACAATAAATTTTCACCAGATTTTCACCATACTTTGCACCAGGTTTTCACCATATTTTGCACCAGATTTGGTAGCTTCAATCCAATATAAATGCACCAAATTTGCATATACAAAAAATTTACATATATATAATTGATGATATACACAACAACAACTTGAAAATTCTAAAATTCTAAATTGATGTTTAATCTACATACAACTTTGAGAATTTCTAAAAAACAACAACAATGAAGGTGTTATCTCTATCTTATACATCTGCACCTATAACCTGAAACAAAACCAAAAGATCGAAATTCATACCATGATAAACCAAAAATTTATTCGAATTTATACTCAAAACTCGAAATGTATACTCAAAATTCTTATCAATGAAAGAAAGACAATATACCTTATAAAATTCTCAACTCCATAATGAATTGACATCATTCCTTCATAAGTTCATCCAATTGATCTTTTGAGTAATTAGCACAATTGAATTCGTCAAAGTACTACATAATAATATAATATAGTATGTGATTTAGTTAAAACACTATGCCATTTTATGAGAAATATTAAAATAATTCCTAAGTTAGAAATCCATATGGTGGATGGAATCTCTATTCGGTCCAAAAGAAGTGTTTCTTTCATAAACCTCAATATGAAATAAATGTAATCTATACCATTACATTGATGAGGACACTACACATGAAAAGAAAATACGGATACATATATCATGATATACCCCTTAACTTGTTTTATCAAGTATCATCACTAATATAATCGAAATTGTGAAAATATACTTGCACTCTGATCCATATAATGTTGTTGGCTCTACTCTTTGGTACTTGAATACCTCTTTGTGATCGAAAAGCTTGTAGAATGCTATAATAAAATATAAACGACTATTTAGAACAATATCACATAGATAAATAAATATACACACGAAATAAAAACATCATTAAAATTAGACTATATTCATTGAAATGAGTAAATAAATTGTTTGTTTAATTAAACAAAGTTGATCGGAGTATATCTGATGTATGTATCGATAACATTGAGGCTTAAAGTCAAATGTTGAAAAACTTAATCCATATCTTCTCTACCAATTGCTTCCATGTATTCATAACCAAAAATGTTCGTCATCATAGGTATAAGACGTGTACCACCAATTGGAATATTTGTTATTCCTATATATGTCTGAAGGCACGACCTATACTGAGAAGTAGGTTTTTTGCTAGCCGTGGTCTTCTTACCCCTACTGACTTGTTCAATCTCTTTAGCATGCATCTAAATATCATATAATTAATTAGGTGAAGTATAAGATCATTCTATGCATAAATATCATATAATTGTGTTATACCTCTTTTTTTGATGCAACTGACTCAGTTTGTCGCATCATCCCCTTATCTTTTGATTTGGGTTTTGTAGGAGTCTAACATTCTCATGTAAAAAAATATACGTAAAATGCT